TGGACATTGGCTGGCTTAATTGTCAAAATATCTGGAGGTAGGATGAGAGGTCCTGCAAAATTCAAAGACAATCAGTGAATATTCACGGCGGACAATAGTCGCGGAGGCAGAAGTCGGAATAGATAGAAGCACACTATATTTCCACGTCTAGTAACAGTAGCAAAGCCAATAATACGGCCGCAACCAAACAGTGTACGGATGAACAACATTCGTTTTTGCGACCATTGGAAAGAATGTACAGTGTGTAAGATGCGATAAACGGGAAGCATTATTTTTTATTTAGGTGGTTTATGCACATTTTCATGAAGTCCATACAACTTTCAAAGAAGCCAAATTCATCTTTAAAATCACCTTTTCTTGAGTTTGTGCAAGCACACTTAAGTGCACTGTTACATAACGTGACATACTGGTTGGGCCAATCAATGGAATATTCACAGTCTTCCACTTTATGCCTACTTTATTTTGGAATCCTTACGTAAATGCTTCATTCACCACGGCTAGTTGATCACTGTGACTGAAAAGGTTACCCGACTTTGTACAGTTATAAAAGCCCTGCATGGAAGAGGTGATTTTTGTGCGTAGAACGTGTTTTGTCACTATTCTTCTGACTCGCTTCAGATTCCTTGGCATAATCATCTCAATAACAGCAACAAGTTTGTTCAAAAACTGAAGAGTCAACCGAGCAAGACATAAAAATGCAGACCGTAGCTAGTTTTCAAACTCTGATCATCCAGTTTTTCCGAAATGCTGAGTTATTCTTGCCACTAACCCCACTTACCCATGCACTACTGGGGAAGAAATTTCAACAGTAGTTGCTGAAGAGAAATAAACAGCAGAAAGACGGATCACTAAGAAAACCAGGTGCCACGGTCAAAACGTAGTTAGAAAGAAATAAGAGGACATCATTCGCCCCAAAGGCGAAAGGCTTCACAATTTATGTATTGGTAATTTTGTTGTCACACTTTTAATTGGGCTCACGATTGTTCTTCTGTGGCCATTACTAGAGAATCTGAGTTGAATCACTGTAGCGAACTGCTGGCTTATCATCCCTCACCTTCTGAAGACTTCGAACCTGCCTCCCTCCGAGATGAACAGGAAAATCTGGACACCCGATGTTTTCCAGAGAACCCATATATTCTTGTGGCATTCTCTTCGTGCAGTTACGATGATAATAATAATGATAATATACTTCAGATAATAAATTATACTAACATATGCCGTTTGTACAGGCAACATCCGATAAACTGACTTCCTAGGTAGGATGTAATTGGGTGTAGTTTAATCCACACTATATACAGACTGTGATACATACAGTTGGTCGGATTACAAAAGATGAGTGAACAACCTAGTGAAACAGCTGGCACCCTATAATTTGGTTTTGTTTTGCGATTGCTGGCACTGTAATAACCAGCTCAAGCCTGCAGAGACCACCTGAGCTTTTTTTCTGTAGATCCTCGGGCCGAACATGGATGCTTGTGTCATCAAGCGGTCTGAAAACGGAAGTAAGCACCAGCCCTCCACTTGACACTTTCAAGTAAATGATGAACATGCTTGCGGGTACATGGGGCTTGCTACCAGTGCTCACTGGAAGCAATTGAACATATGTTCGTATGTCTCTTGCTGCCCCAGCCAATATGTGCAGAGGCGAAAATCCCCCTTTCCTACTACTACTACCACTAGTAATACAAATATTCATGCTAGCACCCTCTACTCTTCTCTTTTATCCACCCATCTAAAATAGTACACAGAATCCTTCAAAAAACGTAAAGAACTGCTCTATCTTGGACCTGACAGACATCTTGTCTAATCACTGGTTCTTCCCGATTGTGGAATACTCACGAGTGTGAGACCAAAAAAGAATGAAATAGAATAACTGGGATGGAATAGTACACTTGGCGAACCGTACCAAGATGCCAAAGCGCCAAGAGAAACTGGCCAGCGGATCGCTCACAGGCAACGCACAAAATTTGACAGCGTGCAAAGCGCCGTCAGTATTTCGCCATGTGCCTTCAATCTAAGCAGTGCGCAGAAATTACGGAGGTGAGCATTCTTGTTTAATGTTTACCACTATGATACTTTTGGCGCAGCGCATCAGTGCTAAATTACGTGTAACTGCAGAACGCAGGTTGCACATAAGTTGGTAATCAACTGACCTATTTCTGAGTCGTAAGAAGAAGCTTACGCTTTGTCAAGGAAAGGTTTTGGTATGGTCATCAGCATGCTCCATCAATTCTAGACTTAGTGCTCTCACATACAGATGATGTATGCTTCATCCGGGACCCAGCACCCGTTGGCAAAAGTGATCACGCTGGAATCATCTTCAGATTCACAGCAGACGTCTTGTGTCAGGTTGATGCTCCAGCTAGACCCGACAATGGAAAGCAAATATGGAAGCTAGTAACCTGGCGGCCTCTTCGGAGGACTGGATAGTCAGTCCTGAAGCCTCAGTTGAAGGTGCGTGGTACCCCCTCAAACAGTTGTATGCACGAGTGACCCAACCGTTTATTCCGTGGATTGTCTCAAGGGGACGGAAACACTATCCTCCGTGGATAAACCACGAAATCCAGATCTTGCTACTACGTAAGAAAAAGTGTTGGAGTCTTGCCACCCACCTTGGCACATCGGAAGTGATGGAGCATTACGGAGAAGCTTATGGTAAATGTGTCGCTGCTATCCTCCCGTCCCAAATATGCTTCGGAATGCGTTTTGCCCAGGCTGCATTGCAACACCCGAAGAGGTTATTTTCCTATATGAACCGCAGAAGTAAGATGTGTCGTGGTATACCCACCCTAACTAATGGCACCGAAAACTGACTGTTTGATTGAGGACGACAGGGAAAAAGCAGAGGCCATGGCTGGATATTTCGCTGAGTTCTTCGCACAGGAATCTTCATTGACGCTTATCCAATAGTGGAAGCATTGACGTCCGACAGAATAAACTCTGTGGATGTCGATGGCTATGATGTATTTCGGACGCTAAGTAATCTCGACGTGGAAAAGTCAACGGGACCAAATGAGCTGCGTTCAAGGCTGCTCAGAGAGCTTGCACTCTACGTAGCCAGCCCACTGACTGCTATATTCAGACCCCTCCCTCGGTGAAGACACGCTCCCTCATGACTGGGAGGATCCCATAGTAACATTTTTCCACAAGGCAGGTTCTGGGCAGCACCCATCAAATTACAGGCTGATAAGTTTGACTAACACTGTAGTGAAAATCCTGGAAGGATTAATCAAGAAAACTATCACAGTCCTCCTAGAGAGAAACACTCTATGGTCTCGCTCACGACATGGCTTTCGTAGGAATTTCTCTTGATTGGCAAACCTCCCCACAGTCGTAGAAAGTCGGGTTCAGTCCACAGATGATAAGATACATGCAGATGTCATTTTCATAGACTAAAGTAGGGGTTCAACAAGGCACCTCACTCCAGGTTGCCCGGGAAACTGGAAAGTTTTGGAATCACTGGCAGTCTGCTTGCATGTATAGGAGACTCCCTTCTTGGCAGGAGACAAGGAGTAAGGATCAGTTCTCAACTCTGCACTTGGAAGTCGGTAGAGAGTGGAATGCCTCGAGGCATAGTCCTGGGGCCCCGCTGTTTCTCCTATACGTAAATGAGCTGCTAAATATAACGGAACCCTCTATGGTTCTCTACGCTGATGATGTAAAAATCTAGCGGGGAATCAGGGATGATGAGGATACACGTGCGCTTCAGGCAGACCTAAAAAACTTGTTACCTGGTGAGAGAATTGGCTGATGCCCATCAACGCAGGTAAATGTGTGGGCATGAACTTGAGGCATATACACAGCAACACCCACGATACTGATGCAACTTCTTTTACGTTTTCGGGATTTGTCCTGGTGCGAGCTCGATAGACGTAAAGGCTAATCACTAATTATTCGGACTCGTTATATACCCACGAGTACGAGACCAAGGAAGAACACGATAGCGTAGTCGGATGGAATAGTATATTTGAATGGTTGTGCCAAAATACCGATACGTTCCAACTAACTGGCTAGAGAGTCGAATACGAGCAATGCAACATAACACGACAGCGTGCCAAATGGCGAGGATGCTTGACCGGGTGCCTTCAGCTTAGTGAGTCCAGTTAAACTATCAAGGTCAGCATCAATGTCGAAAGTCTTCAGACCCTAGGCCAGTGATTTTGGGGAAGTGTGTGACGCTACACCGTCAGTACTGACCCACAGTGAGTTATGACTTGAAAACCACGGCAAACTGTCGATTGGCAGCAGCTCGAGGTTTTAGGACACTTTGGGCATTACGTAGAATGTTTACGAAAATAAGTGGGGACATGTTCATCATCTTATACACATCCTTAGTTAGGTCCAAATTGTGAAAAAGGTAAACAGGCGATTAGTCCTTGGTTGAAAGGTGACACAGACTTCCTAGATAGAGTTCAGAGCATAGCCAATCGTATGGTTCCTGCGAAAGCTGGTCTCATCTACGAAGACCGCCTTAAGGAGCTGAACCTCTTCACTTTGTCCTATCGTAGACGGAGGGGAGAACTAATCATGTTATACAGTATTCTGAGAAATGAATTCGGACCTGATCTATCCTAACTTCTCCTCCCCACTGGTCAGGACACCTCATAGAACGTAGCAGGAGACTACGAAAGCGAGGAACAAACATAACCTCCGCAGAGTGCTGGTTCTCTTGCCAAGTAATCAACACCTGGAACCGACTCTCAGAAGAAGTGCTGTCCGCATCATCGATTAACTCTTTCAAAGGGGGGTCGGAAAAGAACAGAAATCTACCAGAAAAGAATTTACAAGGGCTCCCAGCCTCCTATCCTCAAACAACAAATCTGAGTCTTTATTCACTAAAGGATTATAAAGAAACAAAGTAGCTGAGCATCAAGAACTAGGTGCAGAAGTTCGAAACTATTAGTGTCCTGTAATTGTACTACTAATGCTGCAAGTGTTTGGATCTTAGACTAAAATTTTCTGTCACTCTTGTTATACATTAATAAATGTGGCACAACAAATGCGTCTTCAAAAGCAGATATTTAAATGTGGTAGATACCTTTGATATTTTCATTTAACGGCTGAATAAAGTTATGTTCCGTAAATTATTTGCTACTGTTCACTGCAATGATAGTTCCTCATCTATTAGCAAGCAATAAAGATGAGATTGGACTGTTTTATGGCGTAAATAAGATCATCCACTCATAACGTACTGTAATTATATATTCTTCTTCTTAATATGTATTTCATTATTTTGTTCAGTAGCAAAATAAGACTAAGTTGGGAGGAAAATACAACAGTTTGTGTATATTAAATCACATTGTAATGAAGCATGTAGCAGAGAAACGCGATAATAGAAAGAATTTTTCTGTGGTAAAGTAAGATGATGGTTTATAAATTATGGTGACTAAAATTTACATAATTACCTTACCTTTTTTTCTGGAAATGAGTAGATTATCATGAGCGACAGTGAGAAGAAAATTAAACAGTTCTTACACGATATTTTACTGGACATGTCCATATCAATTTGAATATGGATTTTATCTTACCAGTATTCATACGGAGCAATAAATTCGGCTGTATAACTGCGCCATATCAAGTAGACGACCTAATATGAAACTTTATTTAACCACCGGCAAAACCAACATAGAACCTTACAAACAAGTGCATCGGATCATGTTGCCACACCTCACATTAGCTTGTACAGAACAATTTGATATAAAAGCCATGTCACAGTTGGAAAACTTGCACAAGAGTAGGAACAATTTGGAAGTGAATGACCGAAGATGTTCAGGCCTTAGCAGACATCGATGTATGAATGTATCTTCGCCATTGTGACCAGTTTTCAGACATGTCACCAATGGATCTCAACCACTGGTCCTCACCGCATCGGGAACCCCAACTAGGTAGTCTGCACTTTCTGACGCTACTCAGGTCAACAGCCAGGCACTTCATACACTCGTAGCGTCTTGTTCTGGCAACCTCGAGGCCTTTCTAACCAAATCCAGATTGTCCTAGCATCTTACGTCAAGGTAGGCGGTATCTAAGCATGCGCAGCAAATGTCCAAGCCATCGCAGTCACTGAAGAATCATAATCTCACTGAGTGACTTTCCTTCATTGAATATTACCTTTTATCTGACCGTGATACTGCTATAAGGGTGATCCTACTACATGCGCACAACCCTTTGAAGATACCTGGTCTCTCCGTATCTCATTTTAGCAGTAATGTCTCATGGTTGTATGAAAGGATAGGACGCAATTCAGCACAAACTAATGATCATCAAACGGCTGTGTGTGACATGCCTCAAGCAAATGTCTCATAAGCTATGCGGTTGCACAAATCTTTTCTGGTTCAGCGCCTTTCACAAACAACTTCCATGGTTTGGGCAGACGGGAAGTGTTAACTGCCCACATGCTATCAGTGGTAAACTAAACGACAGTGCCTGAGTTTATCTCTTGCATTTAAGAGAATTCTTTCCACTTTCCATCCAATGTATTCTATTTAAGAAGCCAACACTTAAACGCTTGTCTTGTTCTCCTTTTTGCCTGCTGACTTCCTGATGAAAAAGTTTTAATATAAGGGTGAAACTTGTGCACTGTGGTAGAATGCAATTCCATTTTTGTTGATTTATTAAATTTATCACAGTGTAACATTATTGTCTACTGGATTACGTTTTAGACATGATTTATTGTCCACAGTCATATCAAGGTAGCTACACAACTTTGAGACGTCCTTTCTATTGTCCTAATTCCCTTCCCCTTTGTGATATGGGTAGTAAGATTTTCTGTATATGTGGAACAAGTGCTGAGTCATTACTGTTGCAAGTATTAGGTGTTGATTTGGTGAATAAAGACTCAGTCAGCAATTTCTCTCTCCACTTTGCTACGTTAGTTCTAAGTATTTTTGCCCTATCCTATTCTACTGCTTGGTTCTGTGTTATTGCATCCATACATATGACTGAGCTTTTTTCTAAGTTCTTTACCTTACTAGGATCTACCAATTTTGATCTAGCTAGGCTTTGTATTCAGATGGCCCAATTAACTCTGGCCGACTACTTTGAACTATGTATTTGACTTCGCAATCATTGCAAGGGATTTAATAAACTAAGTTATCCCGCTTGATTGGATCAATAGGAGCTTTCAACCTGCAAAGCTTATTTAGAAGTCAGTTTATGAGTTTAAATGCCACTCTAATCTCTGCTAGCCTTACTGAGAATCCCACGTAGTGTTTCTGAGGTGCCTTCTTTGCATGGTAATAATGTAGAGGTTTGAATTCTGTTCACAGAATTGCCACTACTATTATTGACATTATTATAACTACCATTATTATTATTGTCACTAACAATAATAATAATAATAATCGCTCTATCCCAAGCAATATGTATAGCAGTATGGAATTCTAAACATGTAATTTCTCAGAAAACTCACTCCCAGAACAATTATTTCAAACGAAACGGTTATTGCGTCGGAATGATGTAAATAATAACAGTATTCAAGGCAATAATGTGAAATTCTCAGCTGGTTTTGGATGGGCATCCAGTATATAATGAAGAATCAACAGTGATGCAAGGGTAATTTTGGTGGTGACAGTTAATTCAGACGGTACAAATATCTGCAACTCAAGCTAAATATCTGACGAATAGAAATTTGATGTACTTTTTCTCACCGAGAAGTTCATTTCTATATAACGTAGCATTTTTTCCCTCCTTTGTTATTGACTCGAGAAACGGAGAGTTGGAAACAGTTTTAAAATGTGCAGGAGTATATGATGTGTTCAAAGGATATATTCATCTGATTAAAACAAATCGAAAGGAAAGAATGGTGAAAAATGTTCGATGGATAAATTTGGTAGCCCAAGGTTCAGGCAGGCCGCCAACGATTATTGCCGTTACTACCACTATTATTACTAATACTAATAGCTGTATTACTAATATTTTTCTTACGATTTCTAAGAAAAGTATCAACTAATTTGGGAGGTTAATTGTTGATGAGTAAGGTCTCTTTAATGTATCTAGTTTCTTGTTTTAGATCTTCTATCTTCCTTGTAAGTTTTTTTTGCCCCATCCATTCAACACTTTACTAAGCCAACTTTAACTGACATAGGGTGAGACAATTTTAAGTCTAAGTAACGATTTGAATGTGAAGATTTTCTGTAGACACTCGTGTCTAAACTCTCATCTTGTTTCCTTTTGACTCGACAATCCAACACTGCCGATTCCCCTTCTCTATTTTCTAATTCATAGGTTAATTGGATTGCTTTGGCTACTGAATTTATATGTGTGAACAAGCTATGTATGTGCCCTGATTTCAATATTGCAAACGTGTCGTCTCCATATCGAAACCATATTTTTGAAGTCGGATTAAATTTTTCTACAGTCATCTCTTCCCAACTATCCATAAAAATGTCAGCCACAATAGGGGATATTGGTGATCCTATGGCAACTCCTTCTGTTTGTTTGTATATTTTATTCTGGAACCTAGGAATCGTGGAAGTTAGGCATAGCTGCACTCCTAGCACGACATCATCTACTAGTACCTTAGTTCGTAGTGTAAGCTCAGGTTCATTAGTGAGCTCGTTTTTAACTGCTTCCTGAGCCATGCCAATCGGCGTATTGGTGTGCAAACTAACTACATTTAAACTAACCACTTTTTTGTCATCATCTAAATGTATATCATCTAACCTTTACTTAAAGTCATAAGAGTTAGTAAGTCTTGATCGAGAACGGTTTCTAATTGGAGCCAGTGCCATTGCTAAATATTTAGATAATAACATGTTTTCAGTTTCTTTTTTAAGACGTATGATATGTACTTTGCAATTAAGAGCAATAAAAATTTTCATATCTCAATCCTCAAATGCAATGGGAAAACACAGTATTAATGTTATGTAAGCCCAAGGTTTTGCAACAGTATTCCTGTGCCAGACAAATATTTTTCTATGTTGCACCATTTTATGACTTCACTTACCCTTCATAAACTCTATGATCATAAGCTTGGGGTTGTGTTATTGATTCAAGATGGGTTGATGGTTGTATTTTGTAATGTTTTTTCTCTTAAATACACTAGTGTATTTTTCTATCTCTTCTGTTTCGTTGGTTTTCTGTTTCAATGTTAATCCTCTCTACTTTGACCTACAAGTTTAAGATAAATGTGAAAACATTGTTCCTCAATGAGTCGGTGTGCACAGTTAAACATAAACTTGCACTTTGACAACTTGGCAACAAATTTAAACCGTATACAAGTAAATCCTATCATGTATCAGTAATTTTATTGTAGGAATCTTTCCATGGATAATTATCTCCTTGGAAAATGGAATCCTAATTTTGAAAATAGCGAAGTTCTACTTTTTGTTGTGCTTTTTGCGATAATTTAAATGGAATCACTTTTTATACACTTGAGTATGATTTTTGTTCCTCTATCCCTAACTTGTGATTCATTAAGTGTATTGGCAGATCGTTTCGACATGTTTATGTCAGTCAGTTAGCGTCATCTGTGGCACCGACTGGCAAGATATCTGACTATCTACCAAACGACAAGTATACTGCACTGCAGTCCATTCTGTCCTGTTGCACAGCTGTCAGACATGACCGGTGAAAGCAGAAGATGTGAAACAGTTACAGGGTCTTGATCAGAAGTATCTTCGTAGCATTGCTCGCGTTTGGTGAAATCACCGTGTGACCAATGTTGAAGTCAGGTGAAGGACGCTAGACAAAACAGGCAAGTCGACTGATCAGGTTGTGAACCTCAGTGGACTGGGATGGCTTGGACATGTACTGCGCATGCCGACCCACCAACACCTAACTCGACGTACCATGCTAAGAGAATCTGGATTAGGTTGTAAGAGGGGAGTTCAGAGTGGACAGATGAAGTCCTGACACCAGTCAATAAACTCCTTTGTTGTTAGTCTCAGTGGTGTGGGACGACGTAGACTGCCTCGTTGTGGCCCACGAGACGAAAAGAATCGATGGTTGAGGACTGAATCTTGGTGACATTGTTGGAAATGGGTAACAATGGAGCAGATGTATTCACTCCTTGATGTCTTCCAAAGCTTGAATATTCGCACTATGTTATCTTCAGATTGTTTATTCTCTCACACTACTACTTTGATATCACTTTTTCTATCCACCTGTTCTTTGTATACTACTGTGACGTGTGGCAAATTAAACTGATGTACTGATGTGCGAGGTTTCACGTTGCTTTGTCAGTCAACCAATCATATCAGCTAGTGGCTAGAAATAAGGTGATTCAATTATGAAGTGATATATGAACTTCACTTATCTAGTTGGGTAACATATTTCAATGATAGGAAAAGCTTACTACGGTGGTTAAATTTACTGTCGTAATGAAATAAATACTGTTACTGTCATTATTATCCATGCCACTTTCTTATTTGTTTAGTTGGACCTTACTTCCTGCTCATTTTCTTTATTTCCGTTTTATTTTGTTTTCACTTCGTTTGGTCCTCTCTGCTCCACGTCTTTTTTATATCTACCTGACAGTTTAGATTTCTTATACAGCTGCCTTTTTTTCTTTCTGTTACTCTTCTTGCCCAAATGTTATACCAGTCTGAACTACTATCTAGTGATGTAACAGGTGCTGGCTATAATTCTAGGACTAATCACTCAGATTCCTGTGGATGAATGAATGATGCAATTTTTTGTGAGTATACCAGAGTTACAATGAGTAGGTATCTAGACATATCACACTGGAACCCACCAATACTTGAGACTTTTCTCCAAAATTTACAAGCGAGAACAGAGAAATTGGATAGTTCCTTTTCAAAGCAGGTGTATATCTTTAAGAATAAATATGAATCATTCTGCAGTTAAAGTTACGGTTTACTGGCAACACACAAATAAAAACACATTAATGATCACAATTTCTTTAGTTTGGTGAATCAACCGTAATTGGGAAAAATACGGTCAGTTTTGGCTTACAGTTACTCAGATAACGATGTAGAAACTTGATGTTCATTAGATACATGTGTGGCTGCAAAACGTCCAGTTTGCGTCAACTGGAGATTTCTCGTAAGCAGTTTCATTCTGTACAGATTTATGCGGACAAAATTTCAACTGAATCACTTATAGGAGCAAGAAAACGTTTTGTTAACCAGTATGCAGTAAACTGCACAGATAAACAAAGTGCTTTATCACTAACACCTGAATTACGCGCATTGTTAGGTATTCTTGATTCCAGCTAAGTAGCTAGATGATGATTATTTATTGATAAATTAAATGTTTGGATCTTATTTATGAGGATATCTTCATTAACTCCTTTGGGATTTATGTCGATAAATTTTATTGACCTACTTGTCACATTCTTACTTACTTCACTGACTGTCCTCCGCACACTGTTCAGAAGTGTTTTACATCGAATAAGTGCACCAGGAAGTGAACTTTAGTTTGTCTCCCATACCTGGTTATTCCTTTTTAGAATGAGCTACTGCTTGGAGTTTAGTTAGTGGCTTACTGTTGAAAAGTGTTCACATAGCATTTCACAATTTGAATTACTCCTTTGATTTATGAAAGGATGCCATTATTCTTAAGACAGTTGGGAAAGTATCGACTGTATTCATAATTATTCAGTTACAAACTGCTTACTTTAACTAATAGCTGACACCCAAAAAAGTAATTTAGAAACTGTGTGAAAACGGTTCATTAAAATTTTTTACTTTTTTTTTCTAACGTAACTTTTTGATGTGTAGTCATACTTCCTTTGTTTTGTAAACAAGATATTTTACTGAACTAACAAGTTAAGACATTTTATATCTCGAATCAAGTTCATTTTCTCCATCATCCTATTGTATATTAAGATATGAACAATTTCAGAGGAATTTATTACTAATAGTAGTAGATAAAAACCTTTCGAAGAAATAGTGCTACTAAAAAAGCTACTCTCAAGAAACAAATGAATTCACAGGTATTTTTTGACTAGTCTGAAGAAATTATTTTAAGGAAATTTTACCTTATATTAATGATGTTTGAGCTTTGTGATTTCTTCAGTAAAATTGTACGAAAAACGTACGTGTCAGTGCACATCATTATATATATATATATATATATATATATATATATATATATATATATATATATATATATATATATATATATATATATATATATATATATATATATATATATATAATGATTCAGTCTATGTTTTAGCCGCAGTGCTCAATTGATGTGAAAGAAATCCCAATTCAGAGTAGGAAAGTACATTTGAGTTGACGTACTGTTAGAAAGTCATGATAACTACCCGACCGATAGCTGCTACCTTGACGTGGTGGTCGGGCTTGCATATCACAATGACCCAACGAGCTATACTGGCGGAACGCTTGTTCCCTCGAGGTCCAACCATACCAGAAAGGTCTGTTGGATAGTGGTTAGACGAAAAGCAGTTACCGTTGTGGTATAAATTGCTACACTATGATTGGGGTCTGAGGGCGAAATCATACTGCTGCTAGCTGGATGGGTTGTGACAGCAGTAAGGTGTTTCCCTTGGGTGAGCAGCAGTGCGATGCTGATTCTGCCTTGTAAGTGGAAGCGGGGGGGGGGAAGGGTGAGGGGGGTTAGAAAAGGTCGGCCACAAAAATGACACACTCCACCATGCCCCACGGTCTGCCGGTTAGAGGGTGTTGGTTCATTTGTCGTTTCCCTTCGACCATCTAGCCCCAGAAATCCAAAAGTTCAAAATAATCATACACAAAAGGCTGAGTGTGACAGGCCTGAAGCAGATGTCCGATGTGCTCTGTGGTCACACAAATCTCTTTCAGGTACTTTAAGAAGAAATGGCCTTCTATGGTGTAGGCAGCCGGGAAGTGTCAACCACCCTCACAACTCTATCATTTCATCTTTCTTTAATATTCTGAAGCTTACCAGGTCATATTGAGAAGAAAATGAAACTTTGATGAGATTGCCAATAGTCTTCGTTTGGAGTTATATGTGATAAAGTTTCAGGCAAGTGGGTACTATAACATCTGGAGACTCCTTCGGGCAGATATGAAGCACTTAAGGATGCCATCTTATATTATGTATTTATCAGTAGAACTTAAAGTGATATTTGACTTGCCACTTTTTCATCCCCTTGTGAGTGCCAATGATGTCTACACATTTTAATGGATAGGCAGATACTCTTAGATTTAATTCTGTTTGGTGTTCAGTCATAACACCAAATGCCACCAGTAATCAACGCAGTGACTTGTTTGATGCAAACATTTTGCCGAATATTGCAATCTATGATGAGCTCGGGAGATTTTCTGTAAAATATACCATCAGAAGTAACTAATTGTATTGCAACCTATTTGAGTTTAGGCTCACTCAGCAAGTTACATCTGCAGTGAATGTACTAAGAGTTCGTTTTGACTTGAAGTGGATCGTAACTTGAGCATTTCGACTTATTAATGCATGCAGAAAAAGTTTTAATCTACCGCAGAAATAACTATCTGGTTTCTTCGATACCCAGCTTTGACATTTGGGACCTAGATAAAAACTAAAATATCTATCTGAAGGTTTTTTGTGAAGGCTTATTAATTGGTTTTTAGGTTAGAATTCATTATGGATTTACATGGAAGGCAGGAAACAGCTGTTTAGTGCTCCCAGGTTTCTTATGTTCCCCCAACTGATGTCAGTCCATGATGAATTCCAAACCAAAATATCTGTCAAACAGGTCTGGTTAACGATATTTCCATGATGGTACAACTCTATTGTTTGCATTTGAGCATTGATCTGTTTGATTTACTACAAAAGTTATGAAAGTAAATCTATTTTTAGTAGTTTTACCTTTTTTACAAGAATGAATTTCTAAGCTTATCAATAAAAACAGATAACGGACCATTAAAACTCAGATAATCCTTGAAGTCTTAGATATGATGCTTACTTTAATAGCCACACTGTTGAAACTGGATGTTGAAATTACAAGGTTAATGAATATATGCGATTGTAACGCCTACATAACACTAGAAACATAAGGAGTTTACGCAGTAAATTGCTTTAAAAAGCTCCCAGACTTATCACATTGGATAGTTTTGAAATTGTGGATTAAGATCGAATCACTTATATTATTCATTCTTTCTTATAATTGTACGGGCCTTCGCCTATTAACAATGCACTTAGACTGAAACATATGGGTTTATTCTTTGGACTGAAGTCCTAATAACCACGCAGTGCAACAGCATTAGAAGTTGAATTTCCATGATAAAAAACAACTAGAATAACCCATTCATTGATTATCTCGGAATTATATGGTACACGCCAACATTGATTTAAAATTGGTATCTATAAACTCTATTAGGTGAATTGTTTGTAACCATATTTTGAGAGTTTAAGTGCCAGACTCTTGAGCTTTGCTTTTCACTTTTTTCGAAACACACCTACCATTTGAATTAGTATGTTAAGGTAACGAAAGGAAAGTGGTACATTCTTAAAGCACTGCGTTTAGAAGAGCAGATTTTGTAAATCCCCAGCAGTGCCATGACATATAAGCATACCAAAACTGTAGAACTCGAATGACATGTTTTTTTTAATTAGGCGTCATGTGTAATAGCTAATCATAAAAAAAAACAAATTTTCAGTAGTCAGACCAAGGCTTCACAATCAGCTAATGATAATAAGCAAAAAATGGAGTCTGAGGCATCGTCTAATGCATACTGGTCTGGTAAATATATTGATTTGCTTTTCTCTTTACAAAGTTCAATATAAATGAAGTCAATTCGTAATGATATGAACAGTACAAAATACTCAACAAATAAGGAGGGAAGAGGGAAACAGTCAAATTACAAAATATCTACGGATTATTTGTTTGATGATATTTCAAGTGAAAGTTCAATAGGTGGAAGACGCTTTTTAAAAAATCCAGAAGTGAGAAATAATGAAAATATCGGTAAGTGAATGGATAATTTCCTTCTGAAAAGATTTGAAAATTTTTTGAATCATTGTCATGGGAATAAATATAGTTTACTTTCATGTTTAAAAAAATTGGACCAGAAATTTTCGTAATTATCACCATGACTTTATCATCCACCATAAATTGTGTCCAAAACACCATCTAGTAAACAATACTGTCTCACTTTAGAATTTCTCTAATCGATAGACTAACTTACATGAAAACTTTTATAAATTCAGTGGTCTGAATTGACCAAACGAAGGTAGAACTACTGCCATATGTTCCAGTAGCATTCCAAAAGTATGCTAGTACCTTGCTGATTTACCTTCACTACAACTAGTTGAATGGAAGAGTATAAAGTCTAGCATCGAGACTTAGATGAAGCAGCCATCGCTTCAGAACTTGGTTATCTCCTTGACCAATGAGCTTCTATAACTATTTCTTCTGCAGTAAAAACATTGTGATGTTAAAACATGCGTTTAAATCTCAGTGGAAACAGCAGCATTTACTAGGATGCATATATAGCCACCTTGCATGTATCAAAGAGAAGGAAACATGTGTCCCTTATTCAACCATTAGCCACTACTCATCAACACTATCAGTGATATTGTCCAACTGCCGAAAAAAGAAACAAGAAGTTAGACGGTGTGTACGAACGAAATCAACAGTATCCTTGGGTTGAGATTGAAACAAAGAGAAGATTTATCAAAACTGATGGTACTGAAATTGTGATTCATAGCATGTTTCTAAATACTTACTAACTCTTGCTGAAACCTTAGACAGAAAACCTGAAGTTCCCTTCATGGTCTAATATGACATCCTAATCTGAACTTCGTGTCTGTCACATGACTGACTTTCTGGAGTGACTTTAAAGGTCACCCTAGCAATTAGACCTTTGTGTTTTATAAAAATCCGCCTTTCCTGCGGAAATGAAGGGACCTAGTATGTCAGTTCGATCACTGCTAGGTTGGTCTTTAAAGTCTCCCAATTTTTTGGATGCCTCTTTGTTTGAATATTGCTGCACATACCACCCTTTGTCCATACTTTTGAGACACCCATTGAATTAACTACAATACGAATTATTCACAACAATCAGTCTTCCTTACTTTACCTCTATACAATAGAAGACAGAGACTAACGGTATATTGTACTATTTGGGTCATACATATATAGAATTGAATTGCGTAACAAGGACTCACCACAATTCACAAAAACCAAATGACCAGCTTCATACAGAGAAATTGGAATCATATATCTAACCGATTTCATTTGATATGCAACTATTTCTCAACCATGAATTCCATAGAATTGAGTCAGGGGCCAAGGGGAACTCGTAGGCCAAGATATAAATAAAATAAGTATTCAGTTAAGTGCCTTTTAAAACAAATAACGTAATAATGGTTGGTAATATGTATCTGAGATCCATGTTTCATTTCTTTGGTCCATTATACAGAGGGATCGATGCATTATGCTGTTAAGCATATATAAAATATAGCTGAGATACTCAGTTGAAGAAGAATAGTAGCAGACTCTCGCTGTTTGTTACTTGCCTCTGACCTTATGTCATCCGCCAGAATAACAGCTATTCAAAGAGTTCATAAAATTGCTTATTTACCTACTTGAAACTTACCAAACACTGATTAGTGTTCAGAAATTAATTTTATTAGTTGTGTTGCGAAAACATTTCACTTCTGATATTTATCGTTTGTCTTTGAATTGGTTAGCTCGAAATGTTTCTCCTGCGACAACAGAAGATGAAAATACTGAAGATTTGTTGACCCCGTTTATTGCAAGAAAAACTTCAGTTAGTTTGAGCCGATATTCAAAAGAAAAGACAAATGGAAATAAAGTGGGTTTTTTCTCAAAAAAAAACAATGTATTTGGGAAGTTTTCTGCATCATTCATCTTCACTAATCACCTTACTTTTAAGGTTGAACAAAGATGGCAAGGCTGAATAAAATCCAACCACTTTTTACATTTTCGAGTAATTGTAAAGTTTGAATTACTACAAATATTTCATGAAAATGACTAAGGATTCATGCCTTAACCGACAAGACAGTCAATCTTGATTCATTTTAGGTGTTCAGTTTCTAAGTTATCTGAAATTTTTACGTGTGTAACTTTTTGTCATGCTTCTAAAAAGATAGAGAAATGCATTGAATATGTGTTGAGTGGTTGCTACATATAAGGAAAAAAAAATAAATAAAAATGGTTAGTAATTCGTAGGAAGGTTTTACTAAGTTTAAAAATATAAATGAAGAAGTACCAAAACGTGGCTTACATGGAAGTAATTTAGAATCTGTTTCCTATAAATGTATCCCTCCATTGTTAGAATGAATGAAAATGAAATCATTGGAACTTTTCCTTTTCACATAACGGGTGGGGTTCAATGTATTTTGGCGATGCTTTGAAACAACATTCGACCAGTGTATAACAGGATCTGAATAACCAATGACCGTATGTTTGCAATATGATATACTAAAACCCTACTGAAGTGGATTTCGAGTGTCATATAGCTTAATAAACTCAAACTTAGACTAAGCATAACCAATACTGTGACTTCTCATGGAAAACTACTGATGGCTCCATTGAAATCTTAATAATTTTCTGAAAAATCACTGAAAAAATAAATTAGTTTGTGATGAAGGTAAAGTAAAATCCTAATAGAATATTTTATTCACAGTCTAAAAACTGTTATCTTAATTTCTTCAGCTCTGGCACTGAATGCTATTGATTTGAGATTTCTAAGATCATAATCTCCTTGACGTTTCAAAGATGTCTGTATTATGAGTGAAATAGGGAATAGAGTTCAGGTTTACGGTTTCTTACCCATTAATGTTAATCGCTTTACAGTAAATCAGAACCAGGCAGTCACTGAAATCTAGATTATGGTGTTATACTATAACCTATCTCTTCAACAACCAATATCTCAATAATATTTATTACTATTCAATATATATTAGTCTGTTTTGATCGCTTTTATGTGATCCAAGAAATAAGTATTTCACCAAACGGAACATTAAATTTCATCTTATCTTATTACGACTGAATAGTAAGAAGCAGTTCCAAGCTGCTTAATTAACAGCTTCGATACACGGTGAGGTCATGGGTGCGTACCACTGAGGCGTCGCATAATAAGAAGAAACAGCTGTCCAATGCTCTCAGGTTTTCAATTCTTCCCCAGCTGATTTCAGTGCATGATGAATACCAACCTGAAATCAATAAAATCCCCACAAACCTCAAAGTCGAATTAACAGCTTTGTAATAAATGTGAAGTCAGTATCCATGTAGAATAAAATGGGAGGTCTGAGAATATTGGGATGCAAAGAGGTTTCAGGTGATAATTACTTTCTTAACTAAAGTCACGATTAAACAAACATCCAATTAGTTTGAAAATATTCAAGTAAACATTAACTAGTAGGAATTTTTATCTGTATTTGCATAAGATTTTAAAAGTAATCTCATTTTACCTTTTAATCACTGGTACATTTAAGTATCAAACAAGGGAATATCAGGTATTCAAAATCCGAATGTTATCAAATAACTCGCATCTTTATCAATAAGTTCACCGTTCACAACGTGCAGTCTCTCCATTTAATGTGTATGAAACTTGTCCAGCTCCTTTTTAAGAGTTATGGTGTACAATTGAATAAGGTATCATTCTCTAAAGTTGACATTGAAAAGACAACTCATATATATATATATATATATATATATATATATATATATATATATACATATATATAATTATTATTATTAGTCCCTTGGGTTCCTAGTGGAACATAGGGCTTCAGTAGCACGCCTCCAGTGACCTCTGTTCTCTGAGATCTTTTGAACCTGGCTCCACGACAGCCCACAAGCTCTCATTTCTTCCTCGCACGACCTCCTCCATGTCACCCTCAGCTGGGACGCCCAACTCGTCGCTTCCCATGGGGATTCCACTCGAGCAACTGGCCTGACGCGTGATGTCCCCAGTCGGCCTTCTCAGTGCATGCCCAATCCATCTCCACTTCCTCCTGCATATTTGTTGCGTGATAGGTTCTTGGTTGGTTCGTTCCCAGAGCTCCTTGTTGCTTATTCTTTCTGGCCATCTGATCTTCAGTAGCGAGCGTAAGCAGTTGTTGATGAATGTCTATAGTTTATTGGAAATCCCTGACGCGCCAAGTCTCTGAACCATACAGAAGCACTGACTTGACGTTGGCGTTGAAAATCTGTATCTTGCTCCGCATGCTGAGTGCAGAAGATCTCCACACTGGTTTCAGGCTAATGAACGCCTGTCTTGCTCTTCCGATTCTGACTTTGACGTCCTCGTCTGTGCCACCGCCGCCTGTAGTTGAAACAGTGTTTCCTAGATAGGTGAAGGAGGTTACTTCCTTTAAGCTTCTCCCGTTGATGGTGATTGGAGTTTGTTGTTGTTGTTGGAGTTGTTGGTGCGGTATCTTCATCACCTCTGTCTTCTCTATATTCACCTGAAGTCCCGTCTTCGCTGCCTCTTCTATCAACTTGTTAGTTTTGCCTGTAGATCTTCAAGTTTATGTGACATCAGGCACAAGTCATCGGCGAAATCCAAGTCTTCTAGGTTCTTTTCCGTCGTCCAGTGTATCCCCCTCTTCTCGCTGCCTACTGTTTGCTGCATGATCCAGTCCACCACAATAAGGAATATCATGGGGGATAGTAGGCAACCTTGTTTCACTCCTGTCTTCACTTCCGCTTCAAAAGCATCACTGAGCTTCCCATTGTGAATTACTTGGCATGTGGCATCTTCATATAGTTGTTGAATGAGGCGGATAAAGGTTTGCGGTGCTCCATAGTAGTGAAGCAGTTTCCAAATTACTTCTCGGTCGACGCTGTCAAAGGCCTTCTCAAAGTCGATGAAGTTGAGGTAGAGAGCTGATTGCCATTCTATGCTCTGTTCTATGTTGATGCGTAGTGTAGCGTTGCAATTTGGTCTGCACATGATTTGTACTTCCTGAATCCAGCCAGCCTGTTCCGGTCGTAGTTTCGAATCCAGTATGATGCGACTTAATATTTTACTTGGGGTGGACAGAAGAGTGATTTCTCGCCAGTTCTTGCAAACACTGAGGTCTCCCTTCTCTGGCAGTTTGACAAGGTAACCCTTCTTCCAATCACTAGCCAGGTACCTTCTCTTCCTTCCACACCTTCTGCAGTAGTGGTGTGGTGTGAGCATGTCCGCTGTTGTCTCTGTGTGTGTTTTCAGTGCTTCTGGCGGTATCCCGTCTGGTCCTGCTGCTTTCCCGCATTTCAGTAGCTTTATGGCGTTCAGGACTTCCATTTTTGTTGGAGGATTTATGTTCACTTGTAATTCAGCGGCTGCAGGTGGTATTTCCGGACGAAGTGCAGGTGGTGGTGGTGGTCGATTCAAGAGCTTCTTGAAGTGGTCGGCCCATTGTTCCCTCTGTTTCTCTTCTTTCGTAATTGAATTTCCTTCTTCATCTTTTATTGGTTTCATCTGTGTTGATCTCTTCCCAGATAGCAACCTGGTTATTTGATACAATGTCGTCAGGTCTCTCTTACCTGCAGCCTGTTCTGCTTCACTTGCCAGTGTTTCGTAGAAGTGTCTTTTGTCTTTGCGTGCACTCTTCTTCACTTCTTTGTCCAGTGTTTTATACATTGTGCTCAGTTCCTCTTGTCGTTGAGCGTCCTTGCACTGGTTTATCTTCTGCTTCACCATCCTCCTCTCCCTGCTCTATCAGCTTCCAGGTATCCGTCGAGATCCATTCCTTGTCTTCTTTCTTCTTCCTTCCTAATACTGTTGTGCAGGTTTCCTTCCACATCTCTTTCAAAGACTTCCATTGTTCTTCCATGCAGGTTTCTTCACGGATGTTCCTCAATATATCTCCCATTTTGTCTTGATGGCTGACGTGAAAATGTCCCTGGTAGTTTCGTCCTTCAGTTTCTTTTCCGGGTGTTGAACTTGAACTTTGGTCTATCACCAGCTTCCTTGAAGGCTTTCAGCTTGATTTTGAAGGTCCCTTGCAGTAGATAATGAGTGGTGTGAGCCTACATCTGCTCCTCTTCTTGACCTTGTGTCAAGTAGGCTGACTGCGTCTCCATTTTCTTGAGATTGAGATAAAGTCGATTTGATTTTTAGTGTGTCCATCTGGTGAAATCCATGTCGCTTTGTGGATATCTTTGTGCCTGAACACACTGCCTCCAATCACCAAATCGTTGAATGCGCAGAATTCTGCAAACAATTCTCCATTCTCGTTCATCTCCTCACCGAGCGCTTCTCGACCCCTGGTTAGTTCTCTTCCTGTGTTGTCCCCTCCCAGTTTGGCATTCATGTCACCCTGCCCATTAGAATGAAATTTGATATCGCCATCTGGGGTGAGGTCTTGTCCAGTGTTGATTGAAGTTGTCTGTAGAATTCCTCCTTTTTCTCTTGCTCTGCATTATTTGTAGGTGCATAGCATTGTATGATTGTGACCTTCCATCCTTTTGAGTTGAATCTTGCTGTGATGATCCTGATCGTGGAGGAGGAAATTGGTTCCCACTGCATGAGAGACAACCTTCGATGCTGTTGGGGACATCATGATAGCCACTCGAAAACTCAGTGTGCTCATGGTTGTCGTCTTGGTGACAATATCGGAGTAGATTGTTGATTCTCCAGTTGACAGTTTGGAGAGTCCACTCCCATTCCATCTGCTTTCGCTAATTCCAAGCACTTCGATGTGACACCTTCTCATCTCGTTTGCAATCTGGGCTGCCTTGCTGGGTTCAAACATCGTGCGGACATTCCATGTCCCCACGTTTACTTTCGCTTTCATCGAGAGAGGTGAGGACACATCGGCCAGTTGGCTTCCCGAAGGGTTTCACCAACTTGCGTCATTTCGCCTCTAGGATTCCAGAGAGGAATAATTTTGTTTTTATTTTTAACATTTTGTTTGTGCTTTGAAGTTTGTTTAGCGGTTAGATTTGTTTTGCGGGGTAGGGTTGCTAGCCCTGTCCCCAACCTTCCCTCTTTACCCGGAGTTAGGACCGGCTGGTAACTAGTGAACTAGTTAACCAGGCGATTATATATATATATATATATATATATATATATATATATATATATATATATATATATATATTGTATACTGCAGTATTCAGAACTCGTATCCAAACTTTTTATAGAAATCCTCTTTTTTGAGCCTCTGCAAGATGCAAGCTTCTAAAAGAGAACAAATACCCTTTCCCCATAAATGTCAACGTCAGCTTTTTTCACCGAAGAGTGCCAGACATGGACGTCTGACTGATTGCCCAAGGAGATGGAAAATAGGAAAACAAAACGCTAGACAAATGGTGTAATTAGTTATTATCGATGAACTTTATCGGACCCAGAAGCACCAACTTGTGATTCACAACCGTAAAAGAAATCTCGAAAGCATACTTCCGACACAGCACGCGACAACACTATTCCAAACTTCACATAAAAGCTGTTCTTTCTACCGAACTAAATGATGAATTGATGACACTTTTAATCACTACTCTGATACAAATCTTAAAGGTCGAAAGTAACAGGTGATTTAGGTGAGTGAATATGAGTGAAATTCAGGGAAATAGATAAATAATTATTTTATTCCTGGTTGAGTAGAAATTTACTGGACCAAGAGCTTATCATTTAGTAAGGGTTATCTCGTTAAAAAATCTATGAAAAACTTTTGGTAGCTTCATATGTTATCAGTTTTCAGCACCACCTCAAATGAAAATTTGTCCACCTGTTCAATAATAAGATTTTAAGATTAGTTTTAAAGTGAATAAATTAGGCAGTAAAACTTCATCTACTACTTCTACAGTTACAAACATTCTTTCTGCGAACCCTGAAGAATACGGTTTTAACCCATCAGAACGACTGTGAGTGTATATCATTGAGGACTTCCAAACATGCAATCATAGTGTTTTCATACTCCTTCTTTCTCCAACTTATGCCACACTGAATTATTTTCACTAAACAAGTCATTTTACATTTGCTTAACATTCCTGTTTATTTTTAAACCGATTTAATTTCATCCATTGAAACAATCAAAAATTAATAAATCGTTCTAACAAGAAGTCGCATAGTTCAGACGTTGCAAAGTCAAACACAGTTGCCAAAAATTCAGTTGATGAAACTCTAATGAGTGAGGTGCTGGTGATACAAGAAAATGGTGGTAAAAATTTGAACATAATATCAGTTATGACGTTCAATGATAAGGATTCACCAGCTGATTCAATTAGGGGTAAGTTTCGTTTCTTGTATTTTTTATCACTGTGCTAAGGGTCTACATAATAATTCGCAACACTTTTTCACGTGGAAATCATGCTGTATATTATATATATAATCATTTGACTATCTGAGATAGCTGTAGTTTTCCAGACTAGTATTTGTACTGGGTGATTAGAGGTGAGACAACAAATCTGGACCGTGACCGGATTCTAACCAGTGACCACCGTGTTAGCGGCCCGTTGCTCTACCAACTGAGCTACGAGGTCCGACTGCTGAGCAGAATTTATTTCACTTCAATCACCAAGGGTTTTGCCCGACTACCATGTGAATTCGTGACGCGTTACTACCACTTGATCGTATTCACACTAGCTGGCTAGTCAGGACTTCTCATCCCAATCTAACTGAATCATAGAGGAGGAGCATCATACTGATTATCATTTGACCATCTGAGATAGCCTTGGTGACTGAAGTGAAATAAAATTCAACTCAGCAGTCGGGCCTCGTAGTACAGTTGGTAGGGCACCGGGCCGGTAACTCGGTGGTTGCTGGTCCAAATCCGGCTGCGGTCCACATTTTCGTCTCACTTTCAATCATCACCCAGTATATATATATATAATGTTTATATTCATTAAAAATTTGAAAGCGATGGTGAAATTAATAGAAAAGCAATATCATAGAGAGCTGAAAATCAAATGGATTCATAAATAGATGATAAAAGCCTAGAAAAATGAGTAATTTGAATCTAATGGTCTGGAAAATTACGGTCACTCTACGGAATTAAATATCTCTAAATGAAATGGATTAGTTAGTAATGTCATATGTGAAAATAATTACTTCTCCAAATGTCCAGTTAAACAAGTAATAATAATAGTAATAATAAAAAAGTAATCACACCACTTAAAGTAGCATGGCACACAGATGAAGATCAGGTAAACAACAGAGGACTAATGTTTGATATGTCTCATTGTTGTAAGTCTATCAAAGGTCTTCCGTGATAGGTTTGCATCAAAGCGAAAAACTTTCTCAATAAATGATTCTTGAAAGCTTCATGACTGAATGTTAGTTGGATGGAAGCAATCTGCAAGAAGCCTTGTATCTAGATTTTGGGCTTTTGGCGCTCGTTAACAGGGTGTATCTGCAACTTCTGCGTAAATGATGTCCAGTGTCACTTGCTGCTGCAGTCAGTGACGTTATCAATGAGCTATTCGGGGTTCTGTTTTGTAGCTGAGATATTCATCATTTCGTGACGGAAGTATCACAGCTAGGAGAAATCCAACCGCATAATTTTACAGTGTTTTCATTCCTATGGGATGAAGGTATTTTGTGATTATATTTTGTTTGGTTTAGCCATTCACCTATCGAAGTGAGGATCTTAAAGTTACTTGTAATAATTCTGACAAAACGTTTGCTTATATTTTGGATTTAATCTGTTTCTGCGATAAAAAGTCTCAGGAAAAGTAACCAATCACAGTTAGTTCTGTAAAGTGTAACCATAATTAGGTGCAGGTTTCCGCTTACCTTAAGATACCCACCTTCAGAGGAGAGTAAGTTTTATTTCTGGCAAACTTTATACCTAGAAAAATATGAGTGGCGTATGCCACATCATCCTTCATCTCAGTTGGGATGGACTAGTCATCTACTACTACCTTTAAGTGGAGAATGAAGTAATGTGTGTATGGGAGGGGGTCGAATCTGTATTTGAACGATATTTCTTCATAGTAAGATTTCTTTTATCCCACAGATTGCAATCTTCCTAACAAGTATACCAGTATTTTAGCTGACTAATCAACCTCTTATCACTACCCAACATTAAATCACTGCAAAATATAGGCACTTATTAAACTGAGTCAACTGGAAGAGTGTATACTGGCTTATGGAATGTCCTCTTCCCACAACACTTTACTTTTCAAGTAAACATTACTAAAAAATACTTACCTGTGTTGTACAAAATGTAATTGTTTTAATTATTCACTGGAAGGGCTTGCAGTATACCTTGTTCACTTTAGAATTCATGATAAGACATACGTAAACTATAAGGTATGTATACTAAGGCTACAGGGGAACTGCTCAGCAAATGAGTTAGATCATTATGTGAAAAAAGTTTAAAAGCCTTTTGTAGAGTGAAGATACTTTGCAGTGATGTAAATAGAAAGTATACTATTTGGACATCTTACTTCGAAATAAGATATGAAGTAACATTGTCCAATCAATGTTCAAGCTTTGTATTCACAACTCTCCTTAGATGTAACAGTTTACCACTAAATTACCAGTGTCATCTAGTCCCCAGTAATGATCAAAATGTATCACCTTATAAAACTTTATGACTTCAATTGACGACTTGGTGTTACAGTTTGTTTTATCTACTGTTTCGTATTTCTTGACATCTTTCCAGTGATAGATAAACATCATTCCAGTTGGAAAGCTGGTTGACAGTCAAAGTTAGTTTTATGCTAATGCTTCCAGTGATATTCAGCTTCCTGTAGGTTTTTAAAAGATTTAGGGTAAATAACTTTATTAGAATAATTTTTCAGGGTGATTTATTGTGCTTCTCATTCTGATCTTTTCGGTACCATAGTGGTTGCTAGTTACTGTGTTTCATGCACTGACTGATAAAATCAACGTAGAACCTTCAATGTAGATGCATCAGCTCAAGTTTTCACACTTCGCAGTAGTACACAAAGAATTGGTGGATAGAAAAAGAGTGATATCAAAGCAGGCAAAGTGGTGTAAGAGAATAAACAATCTGAAGATAAAGGTTAACGCAAATGTTCAAGCTTTAGAAGATTCAAGGAGTGAATACATATGCACCATTGTTACCCATTTCCTAAAATGTCACCAAGAATCAGTCCTCAACCACTGATTTCTTTCGTCTAGAGGACCCCAACCAGGTAATCTAAATCACCTTGTACGACTCATATCAACAATAAGAAACCTAGTAGTCTGATGCCAGGTCTTGGTCTGGCCACTCTGAACCCTGTTCCAACCTAATCCAGATTCTCTTAGCAAGCCACTTCGGGATAGGCATTGGATGGGTTGGCATGCACAGTACATGTCCAAACCACCTCAGTCGACTCGCCTGCCCTGTCTAGTTCTCTTCACATGATTTCAACATTGGTCATACAGTGATTCCACTAAACGCGAATAATACCACGAGGACACTTATGGTCAAAACTCTGTGACAGCTTCATATCTTCTACTTTCACTTATCATGTCTCACAGCTGTACAACAGGACAGGAGGGACTGCAGGGCAGTATACTCGCCCTTTGATAGATAGTCAGATATCTTGTCAGTTGGCGCCACAGGTAATGCATATTCTCAAAAATATACATTATGGGTTTGTTATTATATTAAATACTAAAATTCATCCCTTTGCAATCGTTTCCACATTTCATTTGTCACTTGAAAATTGGATATTTAAAATTTTTCTAGATATACGAAGCGAAAGCAAGATGACTTTGTTCGATGATCAGCTGATATTATCAGTGGATGAGCTAATGAATGAAAACAGTGCGGGCTGTGAGAGTTATCAGTCATCAAATCGGATTGAAAAATCATACAGTAAGTTTTAAATAACTTTGTTACTGAGACCGTATTCAAATAAAATTGGTAAGATGGCTTATCCCGGCGTCGAACCGAACACTGGTAGGCAAAATTATTCGAAACTAGAAAACATTGCATAAAAGTGTTCTTTATGCTACTTGAGAAGACTTTTCTGTTAGGAGCTCACTTATTCTAAATCCTCAATTTTTTGTTTTGGATAAAAGTTATTATAGAGTGGGAAGATAATTTGTACTGTAGAAAGACCGGAGACATGACAAATTTTCAGATGAGCCTATAGCTAAAATCAGCAGGCAACATATTTGACTATTTGGGCCTTACTCCTGTTACGATCGCAAATAACATTTCAACTTCATGCATACAAGTAAGTAATAGGCACGCGCATTTTATAAGATTATTTTGGCGCTGAGAAGTTTCAGAGATCTCCGGACATTTTAGGGAAATAGTAAAGTAATAGGGGCTCTTAAAAATAGTGGGGAAGCTAATAATACCTGTTCTCGAGCCCTCACTGTAGGCTTTCGGAGACCCTAATCAATTTGCGTAAAAAAGCAGAAGAAGCACTTTGGATACCGCCCCTGCTTTATATCACGATATTACTTATAGTCTTAATAAAAATGCCAAGTATGTCAGGTGTGCCTTTTTGGACTATACTTCGGCATTTGATTCTGTCCCAAGACCTTTTTGCTGGACAAGCCAACTGGAACAAACACTGAATCCTGGATAATCAGCTGACTGGAAGGAAACAACATACTGTTCGTAGAGGGAAGCGCTTCACCTCATTACTTACTGTGACTGGTGTTCCCCAAGGAGCCATCCTTTTCCCCTGTCTTTCCTCTTTCTTTCTGCATGATTTACCTTAGGCAGGTGGTATCGATTTCCTCAAATATGATGATGACCTAACAGTTCCCACTCCTATCTCCTCTTCAACAGATTGCTCCCAACTGAATGTCTTCCTATCTGCTGTTAGACGATGGTCCTCCTAGAACGGTCTTATGCTTAATTCTTCAAAATGTCAGTCTGTAAACTTTACTTTTAGACGTGAACATAACCTATGTAAACTGCTTAGTCCTCATAATTCCTGTTCTATTGATAGTTGTGCACTAGAGAATGTTACAAGTGTGATTTATCTCGTGTGTGTTTTTCTTCGGACTTTTCCCAGTGGTTCCATATCTCACTAATTTCCAAAACAGTTTTTCGCCTAACTTTCTATATTAGGAAGCTGACAGTATCTGGTACTACTCAACCTCTCCACTTGTGTTTTATAAACTCCTGCATCTTACCTGTTTTCTTTTATTTTTTCCTGGGTTACTAAAAAAGATCATGCTATATTGCGTAGAACTTTGAAGGTTGTCAGCAGAACTAGTGGTGTACCCATAAACCTTCTAGTTAAAACAGTTGTAGACAAACATATTAACTGGTGTAAATATCTGATGAGAGCTATTTTATCGGATGGCTAGCATTCTCTTCACTTAAAGTTCTCTGTGTATCAGTCATCTGGAAAGACGAGGAGCAAGCACATAAGACTTTATGCACGTACTACAAAATATAAAAACTCTACAATACCGTATTTAACCCGTCTACTGTGTGACGTGAACTAACTAATCAACTTCTGTTTTTGAAAGAAAACTAATTGATGATGAGCATGTTGCTATTTGCGTATCGTGAATCTAATGGCTAGTGTGACTCTACCTAAATTAACTGCACATTTTCAAGAAAGTTGTAGATGGAGTGAATATTCTTATCTTTTTAAAAATGTAATTTATACTCATTTTATTTTGCTATGTATACATATACACGGTCTCTGTCCAACTTATGCGATATGACATGCCGAGAATTCTGCAGAGTATTCTCAAAATAGCTTTCAGAATAAAACCACTATTATTATTATTATTATTATTATTATTATTATTATTATTATTATTATTATTATTATTACTTAAGTGATCAGCAGTGACTGAACCCTATCGATCAGTTTTGAAATGTGATCATTAAACTGAATTTCAGCATTAGGTGTTGGGTACAATTAACAGGAAGTCCTAGACCCAGGTTTCATGCTTGTCGGTACTCATTAGCACACCTGTAACCATGAAGAAACCAATGTTCCCTCATTAGTTCAACGTTGTGTCAACCGGCTAGGTGGTCACATTGCAAACTTGATAGATGGACCATGGTCAGTGCTGATCACTAAAGGCTTGATAACTGAGTCGATCATCTTCCGCTTACCGATTCGTAAGCACAATTTAATCCCACAGACAGTGAGTTGTGATAATTGACTTGGCTGTGGCTACCACTGGAATCTAGGATGCGCGTTTCATCCTGTTTGGGATTGTTCATCTTGACGTATCTACACTCGAACGAGTGATGTTTATCCAACAACCAAGTCAATTGTTATAATATTATTCAGGAAATATCGAGACATCCGCATTGGAGCTCATATGCCAAAAAAAGTCGATAGATACGTTCCAGTGTAACAACGGGGAACTCAAAGTATCAGCAAGTATTGATTTGTGGTCTTTACATATTATGAGTAAAGACTTTGACCTCAGCAAGGAGTGAAACAGCACCCAGTCAACACCAGTTTCTTCATATTCACAAATACCCAGTCCTAATGAATCCAAACAAGCACAAAACTAGTCATAGAGCTTACTTTCAACTCATATCTAACATCTAAAAGTTATTTATTATAAAAGTTACAGTGAGATCTAGGCAAATGGAAGTTCCTGATGAACAGATTAACTTAAGATCCAAATATCAATCATAAGCAATGACCATATTGTCATCTCTTTCATAAAAGCTTGCGAGATGTCTATAAAATAACACTGGAGGAAATTAAACCATTTTAATGTTTGTATTTGTTTTTCTGTAGGTTTTTAGGTGATTTTCGAATAAATCTGTAGAAATGTCCTTTGCTACTCGGTTGTTACCAATTTTTTATCATTTTGTCTTAGTTTTATGGGGCTTATGACCGATTAAAATATGATTGGTAAACATGTCATTTTAGAGAGGCAGCTAGTGTTCTAAATAGCTTTACCACTTCACTAAACTAATTTCGCTGACCTCCTGTCTGTTCTCCTAGGTATTGTAAAAAGAATCTATGAGCCGGCTGTTGGTGTTTTTCTGAACTCGGAGAAATTCGCAAACAATTAATAGTTTAAAAATATTAGTTTCAGGTCTGTTGTTTAAACTCAATAACCCGCGAATAAAACAGATGATTTTATTGATGAAAGTTAACTTCTTAGAAGTGTTCTAATGAGTTTCCTCTGGAAATTAAAAAAGTTCCCTTAATTGTTCTCAACCCACCAAATGGGAAATTATTATTATTTGTCCCTTGGGTTCCTAGTGGAACATACAGCTTCAGTAGCACGTAGCCATTTCACTCTATTCTCTGTAGTATTTTGAACCTAGCTCCAAGACTGCCCAGAAGCTTTCGTTTCTCCCTCACACGATCTCCTTCATGTCACCCTCTGACACCCAACTCGTCGTTTCCCATGCGGGTTCCAGTCGAGCACCTTGCCTGAAGAGTGATGTCCTCAATCAGCCTTCTCAGTGTATGCCCAATCCATCTCCACTTTCTTCTGCATATTTGTTGGGCGATGGTTGTTGGTTGGTTAGTTGTCAGCCACAGTTCCTTGCTGCTTGTTCTTATTATTCTGGCCATCTGATCTTCAGTAACGAGCCAGCGTAGGCAGCAGTTGATGTATGTCTCTGGTTTGTTGGAAATGCTTTCTGTGATGCGCCAAGTCTCTCAACCATCACATAGAAGCACTGACTTAACAGAATTAGTGTTGTTAATCCGTATCTTGTTCACGCTTTATGCTGAGTGCAGTGCAGTAGGTCTCGACAATGATTTCAGGTTGATGAAGACCTTCTTGTTGTGTTTCCGATCCTCGTTTTGACGTCCTTATCTGTGCCTGTGCCGCCACCTGTAGTTGAAACGATGCCGCCTAGGTAGGTAAACGAGACAACTCTATGGAGTTCAGGACTTGACTTCTGCTTTTGTTGGATTGCCTGTGTTGACAGATAGTTATGTGGCTGAGCTGCTGGTGGTATTTCTAGACCAGTTCCAAGTGGTGGTGGTGGTCGATTCAAGGTTTTTTTGAAGTGGTCAGCCTATTGTTTGACGATTGTGAGTTTCCTTCCTTTTGAGTTAAATCTTGCAGTCATGATCCTGCAGGAGGAGATTGGTTCCCACTGCATGAGAGCCTTCCATGCTTTTATGGACATCATGATAGCCACTCCACTACTCAGTGTGCTCGTGGTTGTCGTTTGGGTTACAATATCGGAGTAGATTATTAACTCTGCAGTTGACAGTTTAGAGAGTTCACTTCCATTCCATCTGCTTTCTCATATTTCTAGCCTAGCACTTCTGTATCATACCTTCTCATCTCTTTTGCAATCTGGGCAGCCTTGTCAGCCAGCTTCAAACATTGTGCAGACATTCATGTCCCCATTCTTAATTTCGCTTTCATCGAGGGAGAGAAGACACATCGACCAATTGGCTTGCCAAAGGCTTTTACCAACTGGCGTCATTTCACCTCTCCGATTCCAGTGAGGAATACGTTTAATTTTGTTTTTTATATTTTGTTAGTGCTTTGAAGTTTCTTCAGAGGTTGGATTTGTTTTACAGGGTAGGGTTGGTAGCCCTACGCCCAAACTTCTGTCTTTACCCGGGCTTAGGACCGGCTAGTAACTAGTGAACTAGACGAAGTTTCAAATGGGAAATAAATGGTTTTAATTAGACTGTCACCCGCTGTTATCGCTGAGTTACAAGGACGTATAATTGCAAAAGTGGAAATGTTTGACTCCAGAAGTAATTTCATTTCATCTCGTCTTACTTTTCTAGCCTTACAAATATGTAGACAGACAAATTACTTATCGTCTGAAACAGGTAGTAGCATATGAAGAAATCTTAGAAATTTGTTATTATCCTCCCGATATATATTGTAATTTCTCATACTTGTCATCAAGAAAACTGTATTTTGTAGAAGAGAAGTCGCTATCAGAAATTGAAGAGGCGATTGAATATGAAAAATCCCAATCTCAATACACTACACTACATAAATCTGTAATTACACCTGAAATAACGCATAAGTCATCGATTCAATCAAAGAAAGAAAAACATTTTACTGAAGAAACATCTCATACCTCTAACGATAATGATAATTCCAGTGGGATGGAAGAATATTCAGATGATTTTGAAAATGAACAAGAAACAGTCAGTTCCAGCAAAGAATGTGCTACAACGCCTAAATCCTTATCACCAAAGCAAAAGGAAGTGTGCAATAGTTCAACTAAACAAAACATCTGTAAAACAGGTACACCTAATTTTTTAGGGGTATGTTTGGGTACGATAGAAAATATAAGTTAGTAAACATGTCAAAAGTTCATATAAATTATTTTTGTAGACAATATGTAACTCAATCTGAGTATTTGAGATAGCTGCGGTTTGACAGACTTACATGGATACTGGGTGGTGATTGAAGGTGAAATGAAATTCTGGGTGGGTGGTTCGAACCTTGTAGCGGTGTAAACTTTCATTTCACCTTCAAACACAACCCAATATCAATATGTAACTAAGCAAAATGTCTCATCTGAAACTTCCCATGTTGATTCATATATCTTTGCTAATTAAATGAGGATCATAAGCGACCCGTATGCGCTTTCACTCATTCAATGGTGAGTTTTACCGTGGTATACATGATATAATTCAACAGACTGATAGGATTACGGGTAATAATTTGTGCTACGAATATTATCCAGTAAATAATACTGCATCACTATGTCGCATACCAAATTCAAAGTAAGGCAATGCAACATTAAATTCCACTACGGTTGCCTAATTTTACTCTTATATTAATATTTCATTTATTTCTCAGTCTAAAAGAGAAGCTTATCACCTTTGTTTTAATTACACGACTACCTGATATTTCAAAAGTGCTGGTTTTATTCGAAGAATTAGGGTAATTCGGAGTCAATTTATTGAAGACGAACACCTTAACAACTGCAAACTTATTTGCCTTTTTGAATGAGAAACGTCTAGTATTGTTGGTCATATTAACCATTTTAGTGTTTATTGCGTGTTTATTAGTTATTACAATGGCTGTTGTTTATTTAATATCATCCTGCGGTTTTAAAGTGTCAAATAGTCCGAATTTTTGAAACCTTTGAATTAACTACAGATATTTTCTCATTGAAGATAGATTGACTAGTTCTTTGCTGTTTTACTTTTCGCTAAACTTCCGACAAGTAGATAAGCATCTCACAGAAGCAAAGTAGAAGTGAAATTCAATTAATCAAAACCGATAGCTGGATACCCTCTGCTTCTCCTATAATTATCTCACGGGAGCTTCTCATCTATTTTGTAAACTCACCTAGCCACTAGTGACGACCATATAACCAACACGGTGAACAAAATCAAAAGCAATATACGAAAACATGCATATTTATCAATCTTCAGCTTTCTACAGTATTTTCAAACACAGATAAATTCTGAGATCTAACACATCAAAAAGAACAACTCATGTTTAGTGACTAATAAGTATGTCTTGAGTGCAACGTGATTAGCACTCATTCCTTTTCTGATCGACATTTCGCGCGAATTGTTCAGTTTATCTTCTGTTTCTCTTGGTGTTGGTCATATAGCACCCACAACTTCTTTGGCAGCTTCTTGTCTAATACTATAAAGGGAAGTTGGTGCACAAAAGTCCTACTGGATGAAATAACTTTCCTTCTTTAGTCCACAGAACATAATCACTGATAGCTTATATTTCTTCCGCCCAAAGAACACATTTTATTACACTGGAGACTTACAACTCAAAATTTAGGTTGTAAACAAAACTCAGAACTGTAAACCACTTAGTATAATCGGTTTCAAAATAAACTTTATTGAATTGACAGTTTATAGTGAATATCGTCAGTGCATGGTGGCACCAACAAAAACTACAACGGACGTTAACAAGTACTTCATAATTTACTTGGTGGTGGCTAGCAGTGTAATCCAGGACTCACGTTTCGTTCCATTTGGAACCCATCAGCAGGATGTCCTTGCACCTCCGTGAGTGTTATTGTTTCCGTTGGGACTCCAACCCGGCACACATTGCTTCAAACGCCAAAACGTTATCCCATAGGCCACTTGGGCATAAGGGCCAGTTCTTATGCAACCGGTTCCAGTCTCAGTGAGAACAAAATCACTTACCGGAGTGCAGATACATCCAGCCGATGAGTCTTAAGCAGGACGAAATATGCATCCTGGATTCCACTGCTAGCCATCACTAAGCAAACTGCAACATAACAACGGGAAATTACAAGTTTCAATAACTAATAAAGTGTTATCAGTTTCAAGGAAAGTGAGGACTACGTGAAAAAAAGCGGCTATGGTGAAAAGTAGCAAACATAGTGACTAATGTAAGTTATTGCTATAAATGGTAACAACTTCATAAGTTATGTCCGGGTTTTTACTGAAGATATTGAAGAAATATCAGAAAAAAAGGATTTCAAAAGTTTGTTTTTATAAGAAACTGCAGTGAATTAAATGAATCTATTGAAAGTGATTTGATAATAATAATATAACTCAACAAGCATATGCAGTTTCATGTACTGACAAATAACTGACGGCTATTTTGCAAAAGATGATGACACTACCTGGCTATTCAGACTTCAGTAAGTTGGTTCTAGTTGGAACCTGTGGTGCGCTTGTTAAACATTTAATGTTTCGATCAGTGATAGCGAAACAGTGTTGAACCGTTATTCAAACGACATAATTTACCCATTTATGAGTGGGTTACAACTCATACACACATACACAGCTTTGTTTACCACAACATAGGTCGTATCTATTGTGTGAAACTTAAAGATGCTGTGTGACAGCACAAACTTTGATAGGCGTATATCGTTTCTCAAAATAGTGACCGCTGGTTATAAAACTGTTCAATAAATTATTTGAAAAAATTTTATCAAATCGGTAGTAATTAATTATTCAATCATTTAGTCCTACAAAATATTCTTAAACTTAGAAATTGAAAATCCAGAATTTGAGATCAGAAAGAAAGGAAATAAATAAAGAGATCTGCTCTCAACAAGTTGTTTATAAGGAGAACGAGAACTGTCTAAAATTCGTCAGAGGTATCCAGACAGACAGACAACATCAACATGGAACCTCGCACATCAGTACATCAGTTTAATTTGCCACACGTCACAGTAGTATACAAAGAACAGGTGGATAGAAAAAGTAATATCAAAGTAGTGTGAGAGAATAAACAATCTGAAGATAACATAGTGCGAATATTCAAGCTTTGGAAGACATCAAGGAGTGAATACATCTGCTCCATTGTTACCCATTTCCAACAATGTCACCAAGATTCAGTCCTCAACCATCGATTCCTTTCATCTCGTGGGCCACAACGAGGCAGTCTACGTCGTCCCACACCACTGAGACTAACAACAAAGGAGTTTATTGACTGGTGTCAGGACTTCATCTGTCCACTCTGAACTCCCCTCTTACAACCTAATCCAGATTCTCTTAGCATGGTACGTCGAGTTAGGTGTTGGTGGGTCGGCATGCGCAGTACATGTCCAAGCCATCCCAGTCCACTGAGGTTCACAACCTGATCAGTCGACTTGCCTGTTTTGTCTAGCGTCCTTCACCTGACTTCAACATTGGTCACACGGTGATTTCACCAAACGCGAGCAATGCTACGAAGATACTTCTGATCAAGACCCTGTAGCTGTTTCACATCTTCTGCTTTCACCGGTCATGTCTGACAGCTGTGCAACAGGACAGAATGGACTGCAGTGTAGTATACTTGTCGTTTATTAGATAATCAAAAGTATTCCTCAATGTACTCTCATTCATTCTATATCTAGTGACAAGCTTCATTTGTTACCTATCTTTTTCATGTTTGATTAAAAATTTAAATTATGCGGTCAGTGTTATTCAACTCCAGTCTACTATTCATGTACTTTAGTAATTTCATCAATGTGTTATAAATTTGATCTGACAAGACTCTGTGTAATTCAGCACAATCATAATGTGTAATTTATTTTTCTGTTGTAACAGCCATATTTTATTTTTTTTTAATGTTTAATTAGTACCTACTAGTATCTGCAGCGATACAAGTCAATCGGAATTACATGAAAAAGTTACACACAAAAAGTAAGTATATGCAAAGCTAAAAGTAACATTCTGTATTCCGTTGTACTGAATTTCAGAATTTATCAAAAAGTGTACAGTCATCACTGACATATCGGATAACTCAGGAGGCTTTCATTCAATAATTGCCTTATCCCCAAATAAGACTTTTTGTCAACCAACCGTTGAAGAAAATAATGATTGGTTTCTTTGATAGAATAGTATAATCGAATGATGAAGTATTCTTCTGAGTGACGCCGACTTACTAAGCAATGATCAGTGTAACAATAAATCATCTAATGAAGTAGTAATCACAGTAATTGTTAAATAAAAACGTAATCCCCATCCATGTTTCTTAATCTGCCCCACACTCTGAGTTCATATAGACAAGAACTTCAAATTCCACTTCACTTACGCATTACTATGCCTATTGAGGCTTTGATTTTTCTTGCTAAATTAAAATGGCACTCTGAATTACAAGACTATTTTAGTGGTTCTACAACATGGTCTAAAAAGTCCAGAGTATATGCTAAGGAGAAAAAATATCTAAAAAGTACGAAAACAAGATATATCTCAATTTTGAGGTTTGTAAGGATTTATTTATTGGTTTCAGTTTGATATTCATCATGAACTGACATCAGTTGGAGAAACGCTGGAAATCTGGGAGCACTGGACAGGTTTTTCACCCGATTATGGGGCTCCTCAGCAGTGCGCACCTACAACCCCTCCAAGTGGTTCCTGAAGTTCCAATGAGAGGTTCCGACAGCTAGGGCCAACCAAACCTTACTTGAAGACAGTTACTTAACGACGACATTGGATGGAAGTCGCGCTATTTTGTGAACTGAAAGAAGTAGGAAATATGAACCACTGGACTTCGATCCAGTAGCTCAGTGTTAACTCGCTGGCCTCTAGATCTAAAGGCCCTTGGCTCGATCCCTGGTAGGATCATGGTGCAAACTCCTAAGTAGTCCCATAGTAGGGCAAAATACCTGTCTAGTGCTTCCAGGTTTCCAAAGTTTCTCCAACTGATATCAGTCAATGGTGAGTATCAACCTGAAAATATATCTCAGTTCACTTATGTTATCAAATGATAAAATTTCATGAACAGGTGACGATGCGTGAAATTGTGTCAAGAAATTTCATGTTTTGACTGAAGATTGCGTCACAGTTGACTAGTGGAAATAGTTCATGCCAAATTCGCAATTGGTGAAATAAGCTGGTTGTAGTGTTAGGATGAGAAGTCAGGTACATTAAGATGCTTGAAGATACTTGCGACGCAGGACGCATCAAATAGAAATGGAAATCTTAAGGAAATATAAATATTGTCTCAAGTAACAAAAATCTTCAATGTTAATGAACTTCTAGTTCTTGGTATGATACAACGTATGGCAATGGATGAAACAGCTCTAACTTAAGTTAGCTTTCGGTAGGGATTCTGTAGAAAGGTGCGTAAAACCTTGAATGAACTTGTTCTAGTGATAAAGTTGGATCAGTAAACTATTCATTTCCTTAACCCTAAACCACCTTTTAAAAATGATGCTTCTCGTTGGATGCGAATGTTGTTAGAACTCAGTCATAAGTCACCATCAGTAAAAACCTGAAATGCCAAACAGACAGCGTATAGACTGGGTTACAGTTTACATAGACTGATGATCTAAATGTCCGCAGTTCGTGACCGGGTTCCGGCACTTTGGGCCAACTTTTTAGAGTTTCAGCCTGGGTACTTGATTTCCAGCCAATGGGTCACGGGTCCGAGCCCACCTCCACCTAACGGGAGTTTAGGGAGTCAGATAATATTATTAGCCGTCACATGATACCTGTGGCTAACTACCTACTTCACGAATGTGCATAAGATTACTAAGTGAGTTTTGATTTTTATTTTCGATTTTATTTTTATGTCTACGTCGAGTATATAAGTGAAAAACTAGCAGTTAGTGCAGATTAGAACATCATAAGTAGTTATCAGTTGAGATAACAGTCCACAACAAAAATTATGCTTCTTTCAGTATATATTAAGAACAAAGTGTTGGCAATAGTATGCTTTCATAGTAATTCCGATATGACCTGTTCTAATGCAATATCCAGCTTACAAAACAATGAAATTTTTTTCTTTGTAAAAGTGGTGAGAAAGTATAGTTGATACTTTAGCCAAAGGTATTATGAGCGCTTGCATGTTTTCATAGTTTAGAGTTAAATGTTCATTCTTTAATTAACTTCTTAAGTTCTATGAACATTTAGCTATTTCGTAACAATTAAGGCTAGTTTTTTCTGCAGAATTTGACAGGATATACTCGAATGGCATACGATTAATCACCTATGAGTACAAATGACGAATAAGGCTGAATACGCGGTTTCATATAAATCAGTTGAAACTACTTAAGTGTTTGCCTTAGTGGATAGAAGTCCAACTTCATATTCATTTTAAAAGCTCACTGCCTTGTGGTCTTCATCTTGTCCTTATTGGCTAATTGTTATCTGATAAGTATGTTAGTAGTCAATACAATCCAATTTACCTGTCACTTAGAAAGGGATGAAGGTGAACTAGCTGTGTTGGATTGCAAGATTAAGCGAAAAGGAGATGGAAGTTCAGATACTAGTGTCTATAAGGAAAGCTTCCCATTCGAATGGCTACTTACACTTCAAATCATTTCACCCCACCTCAGTTAAAGTCGTCTTAGTTAAATGCTTAAGTGATAGAGCAAAAAACTTATTAGTAGGACATAAAATTTACGACAAGCAATTAGACACATCAAAAATATCTTGCGTCTCAATAATTGCACACCTAAATTTATAAAAAGTTCATATGAAATCCAAAAGAAAAATATTAGCAGTAGTAGTAGTAGTAGTAGTAGTAGTAGTAGCAATAGAGGTGTTATTAATAATAGTTCTATTACTAATAGTAACAATGGTGACATGGTTGAGAGAGAATTCAAAGCCTCCACTATGGTATCATACAACAAAGGAGAATTCTTAATAAGGTTGGGATTAAGGTGTCATTTAAACCAACAAACTCCCTTAGAAACAAGCTTTGTAAGTTGAAAAAATCCTATTGATGTAATGAGGCAAAATAATTTGGTTTACCAATGATAGCAAGGTCGAATACATAGGTCAAGATGGTCGACCAGGGTCAATTAGAATAACAGAGCACAAAAATTTAGCTAAATCAAGATTAGTAGATCCTAATAAGATAAGAAATTTAGAAAAAAAGGTTGGCTATAACTCTGCATGAAGTTACACACAGTCACACAATAAGATGGGATACAGCGACAGTATTAAAAACCAACTTAGTTGTATGAAAGGATAGATTGGTAGCTGAATCTCTGTTTATCGAATTAAAACCAAATGCATGCAATAGAAATGATTATGCACCTGTCCGAGATATATGGAAAAATAGTAATATATGGAAAATACCCTTGTCACAAAGGAGAGAAAATTAGAAGTATATAACCTCTGTCTCAAAGTTGAGGAGTTACTTTTTACTTGAATATGGACAATAAACTGCGTCCGAAACGTTATCCAGTACATGACAGTGTTTCATTATGTGACATTTCAAATAAACAGACTAAAATGGAGTTACAATCTACCACAGTGCCCAAGTTTTACTCCTAAATTAATGTTACCTTTACTTCATCTTAGTCACATATGCCTTATGCAAGTAATAGTTTATTTTACTACGGCATACACATATAAAACTCAATCAATCAGCTAGTGATTCTGTATTCTAATACTTACCCATTTGAAGTCTAAAAGCAACTACCACTCAAATGTGAAATTTCAATCAGCTCAGTGTTATGAGTAGGTGTTTGATCAGTGTAGTGTTCATTTGACTTAGATCAAATCAAATTCACTTTTAAAATAATCCACCACCCCATTTTTATGGAGGCCTTAGTGGTGTGATGTAAGCCTACACTACCTTTCAGGATGATAAAACTGTGATGTGAACATTGCATCGTTCTAGGAATACTACTTGTTATTTTTGTCGATTTTTTTCTACTTCAATTCAGAAGATCTGCAAAATCAACTGTTGCTCCACGAAAAATTGATGTTACAGTTCAAACTATGTGGTCAGGAGATTTTGCACAATACAAAGGTGTCCCACAAATTTTGTCGCTGAACAGACACGAAGATTTTCTTCCCCCTCCTCCCCACACAACATTGAAAATGCAAAGTATAGCATCATCACTGATAAACTGTAAAACGTTAGAGAGTAGGTTCCATATCACAATGTTTTGACTGTCGATTAAAGTATGTCTGTCATTATATTACCTTGAGATGATAACTAGAAATTGTTACTAACAGTTTTTTATCCAATCATATCCATGTTTATATGTGACACAATAGCCATAGGGTGTTCAATTCGGAGGAACAGTCTACTTCCTATTTTTTAGTAAATTTTTTTCCTAGTGGAGTTCAAGTTTACTTATTAAGGTACAAATCAAGCTTCTGACACGGATCGACTTGAAATATCTATCATAAACGAAGCATGATTCCGATAATTTTAATCTAAGCAGTTGTTTTTCATCTGCACCGGCGAAACTGGTTGTTCATATCGTAAATCCGATAGGTGTTACTTGGATATAGTGATCTCGCTTGCATATCACAATGAACCAACGAGCTATGATGGCTAAAATGACTTTTTATTCAGGTTTTACCATGCTGGAAATTTCTGTTAGGTTGTTAAAAGACTGGAAAAAGCAGTTACTTTCATAGATGAAGCCATGGTGAGTATTCGAGGTTGAAGTTGTACTGGATAGGATGTGATAGGAGTGAGAAGTTTCTTTTCGACGACCAACATTCTTTGATGATGCTTTTTCCTTCATGAGAAGGAAGGGTGAGAAAAGGCCTTCCATGAAAATTAGTACACTACGCATGACCTGTGGTTTCCTGATGTTTGCTGCATTGAATTTTCTAGAATGGACGGAACACAATCAGTTCTAACGAAGACTTTCAAAAAGGCTGCGTCACTGGTCTAAGGCAAAGGTCACTTGAGCTAAGCGATCTCGTACCATGTTTACTAACACAGTTTCTCTTTCAGCCACATCAAGAAAAAGTAACCTTCTATAGTGTGGGTAACCGAAAAGTGTCAACTACCCTCCATTGGCCTTCAGTACTCAATTTCCTACAGAACATCAATCTTCCTCATCTTTGCCATGCAATTTTTCTTCACGTCTTTTCATTAATATTCCTATATCATCTTTAACTTTTCCCACTTCTGTAGCTCGCGATAACGATTCGAGTTCAAAGAACACCATCCCTGGTCTCCTGAAACTTCATTCCAAACTACCTATCACAGCCTTCACTGTTCGGACCCTTCGTGGAATCGGACAGCAGGTTTCGCCAGTGAAAGGTCTGGCATCTCGAGCCATGAACGCGGATTGTGTTTGTGAGATAGCCAAACAATACCTAAGTGCATTTGTCCGTTTGACCTCGCTCAATCAATATGATGAGTCTGCGTAGTTCAATCTTAGATTTTCTGGAGATCCAATGGCTAGTTATTGTGGATATGGAGGTGTAGCTATAGCAATAAATTTTAAACCCCTCCGATAGCTGCTACCTTGACTTGGTAGTCGGGCTTTTATATCACAATGACCCAACGAGCTATGCTAATGGAACGCTTTTTCCTTTGAGATCTTACCATGCCAGAAAGGTCTATTGAATAGTTACAAGACGAAAACAAATTGTCGTTGAAGTGTAAAATGCTACACTATAGTAGGGGTTTGTGGGCGGAGTCATACTACAGCTAGCTGGATAGGGTGTGACAGCAGTAAGGTGTTCCCCTAGAATAACCGGCAATGTCGCACTGTTGCTGGCTGCCCAATGAGACCCGGCGGGGTAGGAAAGGTCGGACCTGAACAAGCGCACTCCCTGCCCCACGGTCTTCAGGTGTCGGCGATGTGGGTTTCCTCTACCCGGTGTTAGAACAACCAAACCTCAAAATAACCACCCCCAAAAGGCTGGGTGTGACATGCCTCAACCAAATGATTCATAGTCTCTGTGGTTTAACAAATCTCTTTCAGGTAGCTTAAGAAGAAAAATCCTTCCACAGTGTGGGTAGCCAGGACGTGCCAACCGCCCGCACGTTTCCAGTAGCACACAAGACTTAATCAAATATAACCTATCTTCCTTAACTCTATTTCTTCCCTTGCCTTCACCTTCTGATACTAATATTAAACCTCTTACACCCCCCCCCGCCCTCTCATTCTGCGACGACCAAAGCCGTCGAAACTTCATTCCTAATCTCTAAAGACCACGACATCTATTTCATGTTGGAGCTTTCAACGTCCCAACTTCATGCCACATCGAACAGGAAGCATCACTCACCAGAACTCTGAAATCTCTAGTCGTGGTTGTATGCAGTGTCTCTGAGACACGTATACAGAACCCGACTGAGGATTTTTTAAATTGGCCTCCCCTGGCCATAGTTGTGTCTTCAAAATTCATCTTACGAGTATCCTGAGACCTAGTGGCTAACCCTCGTGAACTCGCTGATGTAGGCATAACATTCAGCTGTAGGGCAGAAATTGCGCTTCACAACTGGATACTAGTCAACAGCCGTCTATGTGCTGTCCTACTGAGTGGATCTATAAGAACTAGGAACTATTGTGAAACTAGTTTATGCCTGTTCGTTATTTCCGCCTACCCACCCACCGGCTGTAGTTCAGATGATGTGAAGGATGATTTCTATGAGAAACTCTCAACCTTGATTCAGAAAGCAAAACCTTCACATGTAGTCATAATGACAGGTGACTTTAATGCTGAAGTAAGGAAGCTGAGATGAGCCAGTCGGAAAGACGTCTACGAGGTATTTACGTAACCGATAACAGTGATCATCTGTCGCAATTTAGTTCAGACAATCCGTTGTTTCTGGATAGCACTAACTTCAAGCGTAAGGAAAAGCACTGTATCACATGGCATCCGCCGACATGAAAGCAACGGTGGACACAGGTACTGTATGACTACCACCGCTGGAGACGATCGGTAGAAGATTACTGTACTCTCTGAAGTACTAGTTTGGACTCAGATCACACGCTACTATGGGGTCGTGTATGTGTGCACCTTATTGGTCTCACGAAATAGGCGACAGTAGATTAAGACGCCAAGTGCGTATTTATGGAGTAGTTAGCTAAGTGATTATCTGAATACAACGGCGATGCTCATTCTGAGGAAACCTGGTGTGGTGCAATATCAGATCTGCTGCAGAAACAGTGGCAAAGATAGTTGGTAACCAGCACCAGTAGGATAGTAAAGTCACTGGATTTCTGCGACGTCTTTCCAAATGGTTGATGCGAGGACTCATTCCAGCTGGCTCTGAACACAATGAAGAGCAACTGCGACGTAAATTGACCAAGAGTCTTCACGTCGATCGCGACGACTAGTGAGTGGCAAGAGCAAGAGAGATGGAGAAAGCATCATAAGTAGGTACACGCGAAAAATGTTTCCGCTTATTATTGATATCGGTAGGAAGAAAACAATGGTGAGTGAGTACCCTAATAACCCCAGGACAGGCAGCTAGAACATTGGGCAGAAAACTTTGAAGCACAGTTCAACTGGCTCTCAGTAACGCTTTAGTTGTCCAGAATCCAGCCAGAACCTAAAAGAACATGGATGTCCGTCCCACAACTCTCGTCGAAGTTGAGAAAGCTGTATCCAACCTAGAACTTTGCGAAGTAGCAGAACCTGACAGTTTACAACCTAAAAGTTTTCAAAAATTGGAGCTAGGAAATAGGTGATTAGAGTGACGGAGGTATTAAATAGTGTATAGGAATGGAATTAGAGGTAGTGGCATCAAATTGGTCTACTTGTCTAATCATGCCAGTCTGTAAGAAGAGAGAAAAGTCTTTCTGTGACAACCTAGGGGAATTAGTTTGACTAATATTCTGTTTACGATTCTAGGATTCATAGTTATCCGACGTCTAACTGTAGGTCAGGAACAGCAAACTGGAGAAAACCAAGGAGATTTCAGACGTAGTCGATAGTTCATCGATCAGAGTTTCACCCACTAACAGGTTTTAGAACACAGGCACAGCTACCGGTGGCCAATACTTGCCATATTTCTTGACCTGAAGGTAAAATTTGACTCTACACCATGAAGTGTTGTGACAGCATCTGGTAATGAAGGAAGTAACAAGAAAGTATATAAGCCTAATCAAAGCTCTCTACTTGAACTCATCCAGCCATCTTACGGCTTATGGAGAGTTGTCATGTGAATTGAAGATACCTAGTGGATTTCGCCAGAGATTTCCATTGTCACCGTCTCTATTTCTTTTTTTTATAGATTTACTAATGCACATGATGTTAGGTACGTCTGACTTCACAAGGATTGACCCACTTCCTGGAGGTCTTCTGGTTGACTCAAAGCATGCAGACGATATTTTCCTGCTAGGAGAAGATACTGAGGAGATGCAGGGTCTTGAGAACGCGTTGAGCGGAAATCTGAGCATTTCCAGTATGTGTTTCGCACCTGTGAAATCTAAGATGAGGCTCCAAGACGAGCATGAAAATACTGGTATTGTAAGGATAGGGAGTGAAGTGGTAGGATTTGTCGACCACTTTATTTACTTGAGAAGTTAAATCAGCCAGAACGCACTGGTTGCGCATGAAATCGCAGCAACTGTGGCGCCAACTGGCAAGACATCTGACTATCTAACAAACGACAAGTATACTACACTGCAGTCCATTCTGTCCTGTTGCACAGCTGTCAGACATGACCGGTGAAAGCAGAAGATGTGAAACAGCTACAGGGTCTTGATCAGAAGTATCTTCGTAGCATTGCTCGCGTTTGGTGAAATCACCGTGTGACCAATGTTGAAGTCAGGTGAAGGACGCTAGACAAAACAGGCAAGTCGACTGATCAGGTTGTGAACCTCAGTGGACTGGGATGGCTTGGACATGTACTGCGCATGCCGACCCACCAACACCTAACTCGACGTACCATGCTAAGAGAATCTGGATTAGGTTGTAAGAGGGGAGTTCAGAGTGGACAGATGAAGTCCTGACACCAGTCAATAAACTCCTTTGTTGTTAGTCTCAGTGGTGTGGGACGACGTAGACTGCCTCGTTGTGGCCCACGAGATGAAAGGAATCGATGGTTGAGGACTGAATCTTGGTGACATTGTTGGAAATGGGTAACAATGGAGCAGATGTATTCACTCCTTGATGTCTTCCAAAGCTTGAATATTCGCACTATGTTATCTTCAGATTGTTTAT